GCAGGAATTCTCTTCTTCGTTAGCTGCCCGTCAACTTCTCCTGGATCATCTCGTCTAATCTTGTATCGTAGCGCTTTGCAAACAGGGTATGCTTCTAGGTTCTCGTACTCCTCACCGCGATATAGGATACAATCATTCGGACATGCGTGAATCTTCTGAACTTCCAATCCTAGAGGGCACACTATCTTCTTAGCCTCGTACGTTGTCTCGGGCAACTTGTTTCCCTCCGGAAGAATGTTCTTGACGAGTTTCAATAAATCGCCAAATGCCTTGTCACTAACACCATTTTTTGCCTTCCATTGCAAGAACTCCAGAGTGGTATCCAACTTTTTGTGCCCCTGCTCGCAACCTGGGTACAACGACGTTCTGTGGTCCTCTAACATCTTGTCCAATTTATGGGCCCCCTTTTCACTTTCGCAATCTTCCTTGGCGTCCTCCAACATTTGACCAAGATCATCCGCAACGTTGTTACCATCAGCATCCCTTTCCTCCTCGCCCGTTTGATTTCCTTCAAATCCAGCGTACTGAGCAAAGTCCGGAATATTGTCGTCTTCCACTTCATCTTCTTCCATTTCAACTCCATGCTCTCCGTGGGATGTCCAACAATTATAGCTTGGCATGAACCCCGACTCAAACAAGTGGAAATGAATAGTCCTGGATGCAGAATACTCCTTCTGATTCTTACACTTATTGCATGGACAACAAATAAAACCCTTTTGCCTGTTAGCTTCGGCCACTCTCAAAAAATAATGCACGCCGTCAATAAACTCTTTGGACCGCCAGTCAGCGTACATCCATTGCCGATCCATCTACATGACATGAAAAAAATCGTACACACATAATTATTCGTACAATAATGACAGTCATACAATAATTATAAAATAATTACAAACTCTTTCAACAGTCACACAATAATGACATATCATTATTCATACAAATATTATGAAATATTACACCGAATAATTATATATTTACTATTTATAAAGTTTTAAACTAATATTAATGTGTTGTGTACTTATTTTAATTTTTCATCTTACTTTGTTTTGTATTATTCAAGATTAACTTTCACTATATTTTCCTTCTCAACTTTTTTATAAAACCTTCTTTACCAAATAAACTAAATTTCTATATATTCTTTCTTCTCCACACAAATTTTCTCTCTCATCAACTAACAACAAAATTTTGGAGACAAAAAAGTGTGCAAAACTTAGCTCCAAATGTAATATGAAAAAAAAACATTGGAGGATGAAGTTGCTAACCTTTTAGGCACCTCCGATTTGTATATAATCAACACAATAAATTCACTAGAAATTTTGGCATGACCTCCCCTCTTTTTTAAGAAAATTTGAAGCTTGCTCGGGCTGGAGGAGGAAGAAGACATATATATAGGGGTGGGACTTTAGTCCAAGTTGGTGTTATGAACCGGGCTAAAGATCGCCGGGGTCTTTATTCCCGGTTGGTAACACCAACCGGGACTAAAGTTACGATCTTTAGTCCCGGTTGGTGTTATTAACCGGGACTGAAGATCCCGGGGGGGGGGGGGGCCTGACAGGCCCTGACAGCATTTGAACCGGGACTAAAGATCAAATATACCCGTTACCCTTTTTAACCGGGACAAAAGATCATCTTTGGTCCCGGTTTTTGTTGCAACCAGGACTATTGTGAAATTAGCCCGACCGATGAAAGATGGTTTCTCCACCAGTGTAATGTCACGCCCGGAATTTCTATCCAAAATTCCAAACGCTTACATGTGTGTGAACCCTCGTCCAGGAATCAGCCGAGGCACACAATAACAAATTGATAATAGAGTACAACTATTACTCTAATTAATAAGCGAATAAAATGTCATTACAGAGGAAGATAGTTCCTCTCAATCAATAAAGATCTAAGCAGCGGAAAATAAATAAACGGCGCAAACGGCTCCACTCCACAGGCAGCTTGACCAAGGCTACACCTAATCCTCCACACCATCAGCCTCATTGAAGAACTCTTCCTCTGATGAATGATTGCAAGGTGAGTATATGACATACTCAGCAAGCCACGCAGCAAATATGCAAGTGCACAGGATAACAAAGGATGGCATAATAGGGTTTCATTTGCAAAAGCAGCATTTAGCAAACATTTGAGAATTTAATAAAACAGTTAGGTAATTAAGCAATATTAATCCAACACTATACAACATACCCTGTTGTATAGGCCCAACCATTCTGAACAACCATACCGGCTGTACAGTTCTATCTCCAAACCAGGAATATACCATTCCAAACCAGGAGCTAATCAAATTATTACCAATTATAGCATCATTTACTATGGTGAGAAGGGTGAGACTAATCACGAAAGACATTGTTCGACCCGCCCATAACCGCGGGCACGGCTATTCGAATAGTTTTACTCTGATCAGAGGTGTACCACTGTACCCACAAGACACAACCCCACATCATGTCACCATGTGCCTCAATACCACCACGGTACCTCGGAAAGGAGTTGTGACAATACCCCTTGCATAACACAATCCACTGCAGCGCACCTTCCTGGATCATAATCACCCCCTTATAAACAAGGCATGGACTCCCCAGCGACCCCCGTGGGCTTATCTCCGCCACTTCTCAGTCTGGTGCTCCGCAATGAACTATGCTATACAAAAGATAAAGCCGTTGCCCATGCTGGCTTGTGATTGGCACGGTTAATGTTTCACAACCGAAACTCGTGAACCGGTCCTTAATTGTCATGAGCACGACCATCAAAACCATGTGCTCACAACCCACCATTACCAGGTTTTAGTTGGCACATTAATTAATTAACTAATCACGATTGACCATCGTGAACTATCATGAAACCATCATGAAATATTAGTGAGTCATTAGTTATCCCGAATGTGTGCTAATGTTTCTAAGCATGGCTAAGCAACTATAAACAACATCTAGCTGAACCAATCCAATATATAAGGTCCATGCTAGTCAAATTATAACCCATAGGAAAATAAAGTCATCTTCGGCCATAATTAAATGGGAAAGGTTCACCACCCAATGACATTCGAAAACAATGCATAAGTTGAAAACAAAACAATAGCTTTAAACGGGTTCAACATGCTCAAAGGGTTGTTTGGGATCTGTGTGACTTGCCTTGCTGGCCTTGGAATTCTTCAAACTCTTCTCCGGCGAAAACGGACTCTCCGGAAACGACGGAATCTAAGCAGAAAAGAGCAAAATCACCAAAACAGCACATAAACAAGCATGAACAGTACATATGGATATTTTTAATGTGTAGATCTCAATTTTAGAAAAATTTAGAGACTTGAACCAAATAAATCGGAGCTAAGATGAATTAGTTATGAATTTTTAAAGATTAAATCGGATTAAAACACTTAAATCGGTTAAAATTGAATTATGACGCAATAATGAATTATTTTTGAAAAGGAAAAGGGGATTTATTGCGTCAGCGGGCTAGGGTTTGGTGGACCGGGCGCACGGGCGGCGGTTCACGCGAACGGACGGCCGAGATCAAACCAATCCAAGATGGACGGCCGAGATCGATCGGGTCCACGGCGGCTCACGACGAACGGTCCCGATGACGTCGGCAATGACGTCACCGACGGCGGCGGCGGCTCGGCGGCTTGAACGGCCCGGGCGGCGCACGCTCGCCGGCGAACGGCGGCGCTAGGACGCAAACGGAGGGCACCAAGACGAAGCGGGCGGCACGGCGAACTCACCGGCGACCAAAACGGCGGCGGAAGACCAACGGACGGCGACGGCGACAAGGAGGAAGCGGCGGGAACCTTCGGGTCGACGGCGGCGATGACGCTCCGGCGGTCTTCGGCGGCAACGAAGGGGCGGACGAGGACGGCGACGCGACGGCGAACACGACGGCGGCCTTCCCGAGCGACGGCGACGGCTGAAACGGCGGCGGCGCACGGCTGGAACGGCGGCGGCGCACGGCAAAGCTAGGGCACACGGCGCTAGGGCTTTCCCGACGACGAGAGGCGAAGGCGAAGGCGGCGACGGGTAGAGGAGACACCGGGGAGGCTTTTAAAGGGGCTCGGAGGCGACGGCGGAGGCCCACGGCGACCGGCGACGAGGAAGGAAAGATCGGGAAGAACGAATCCGAGACGAACTCGAATCCAACGCTTTCCAAAACGATTTAGCCAAAGATTCCAAAGGAGAAAGGGTAGAGGAGATCCCGGAGATCATTTCCCCTCTAACAATTCAGCCGGAGAAGGAAAGGGGCGGCCGAATTGGAAGGAAACAGCGGCGGCGGCTCGGCGGCGGCGCGCTAGGGTTTCGGCCCGAGGAAGACGACGGGCCCCACCTGTCAGCGGCAGCGGGCGCGCGCGCGCGGCGGCTGACTGGGCCGGACTGGGCCGAGGAGAGAAAAGAGAGGTTTTGGGCCGACTTTCGGCCCAAAGCCAAAAGAAGACTTTTTAAAACTTTTTCAATTTAAATTATTTCTTAAATGCAATTCCATTTATTAAAAATACTTTCTTAGCTCAAATAAATCCCAGAAAAATCTAGGAATTATAGAATTAAGCAAAGTATTTAATGAAATTTTATCTGGCCCAATTTTATGTTGGAATTTATTAATTAAACTTAGATCTTCTTTTCAAGACTTTTAAAATAAATTCTAGAAATTCCAATTAAACAACAATTTATATAATTTTAAATTTTCAGGGTGTGACATGTAACTCCGACAGCAATGGTCAACGTAGAAGCAACACATTCCACTATCGTCATGGATCCAGGAGCTTTATGCCGGTGGTGGACACTGGACACTATCGAATGAGAGGTTGCAAAGTTTGTGGAGCGATATATTTTGAACTCTTGGAGGAGTACGCAAGTTTGCAGTTCATCAGACTTAAAAACGATTCTTCATAATTAAGCAAATTAATAAAAACAGAGCTCAAACTGTTACAAGGTAAGCATCGCACACGAGCGTATCCAGCTCCAGCAGTAATCACCTAAACCATGAATAAACCTACTAATGCACAAAATGCCTAATTTGGCAACCTACATCTCATAGGCCCAGGCGTTCTCGTTACGGACCTCGGCCTCCTCCTCCGGCGTGAAGTCGTTCTCGATCCCAAATACCTCCCTGACCTGCTCCGGCATCATGTCTTTGATCAAGTCCGCCGTGCGCTGGCATGTCAGCTCCAACAGGCACGGCATGTTCAGGAAGTTGGCAGCATTGATCAGGCCGAACAACTTCTTCCTGTCGATGTTGACGAACTCGGCGTCGAACTTCCTGATGAGCTCCTCCTGCCCGCTAGCATTCGCGGCGGCGGCGGCGTGCCTGTTGCAGTACTCGACCACCATGGCGAGGATGTCGGCGGCGACGTTGGCGAGAGGGATGGCGCCGTTGGTGGCGCAGTCATCCTCGATCATGTTACCCAGCGTCTTGGACAAGCTCGCCGCCGCCTCCGACAGCTCGAATTTCACGCCGTCCGAGCTGACGAGCAGGATCATCTTCTTGCCGTCGGCGGCGCCGTCTGCTGCTACTGCTGCCGATGCCATCTCGGTGGCGCGCTTGTTGAACAAAGGCGTGAACTTCTGATCGATCAGATGAGTGCGCCCTAGCTTGTTGATCAAAAACCTGTTTGCGTTTCTCGGCAACTGGATGGTTTGGAAATTGTTAGTTTTGGCGGTCTGTATATATGGATGAAGCCAGAGATTGACAAACTCCGAGACGGAGTCTGTTTTAATCTGTTGAAGTAAATCCGAGTCTAACTGGGTTTCTGGGATCTTTCGCGTTTCGTGCTTGGATCAGGGCGAGGTGGTCTGTTTTTATTGCGTGAAGAAATTATTACTCCGATGCGGTCATGCGCAGTCCGATCGAATTCAATCCAATATTTTTTTGCGTTAATTCGTTTATGAGATTAAAATAGGAGCAATTGCAAATCTGACCGTACTTTAAGAACTAACTATCAATTTAATTTTTTCTAATCCACATTGTGTTTACACCTAAATTTGGCACCTAGGATTAAAATAGGAAAGATTGCCAAAATTTAGAAATCTACCGGTTTCCTCCGAGTGTGCCGGTCTGACCGCCATGTGTTGGGCGGTCAGACCGCCGGTTGAGGGCCGGTCAGACCGGCGGTGTGTGAACGGTCTGACCGGCAGGTCCGAGTTCGACCCTGTTTCGTCAGGTTTCGAGGTTTCCTTGCTCGGGAAGGCATGTTTCGGGTTTCCTTTGGTTTTTACCCCGAGTTGGATGTGGAGGAGGGCCTGTAGAGGGCAAGACCAACCCCTATATAAGGGACAAGGCCGGTTCATTGTAAAAATCAATCTACAATCAATCAATCGAATCGTTCTTTTCATATTGCTTTTAGTTTCCTCTTAGTTTGTCCATCTTTGTCGGTTTGCGCCGTAAACCGTCCGCCGCCGCTGCGAGAGTGCGACATCTCTTTGTAGGTTTGTCCTGAAAACCTTCCGTTTGCCCACGAGACGGGTAGTTATCTAGAAATCGGCTCCGCTAGCCGGTTTATTTATCAAAACCCATCTAGATTTAGCTCTTTGCTAGATCGAGGTGGTTGGCGACTCTAGGATCACCGCAAGGCTTAAGGTGCTACGATCGTGCTTGTTAACTTGTCAAGAAAGTTGCCAACATGATTTTTGGCGACTCCGCTGGGGAAGAGATCCGTTCATCGTCAACTCGACTTCGACTTCGCCATGACGAAGCCATCATCCAAGACGGAGGTGTAGCCATCTCATGTGATACCGGTCACATTGGATGACTTTGAAGGAGAGGATCGTAAAACTGTTGAGGAGTACATCAACGAGCTCACACGGGAGGCGTTGATGAGATTGACTACTAGGACTCGTCAAGGCGTGATCATCAAGCCCGGGCCACGTCCCAAGCTCGCTCCCGACGTGGTAAGTAATGACGAGGTATCGCAATCTATCAACAAACAAATTGCATCTATAATAGATTCATCTATGGCTAATTTTAAAGAAAGATTAGATGTAATGTTTAAGGAAAAGGTTGATGGGTTTTTAAGGAGTAGGCTAGGTGCTTTTATGGATGATTATACATTAAAAGATAAAGCCTATACCACTGTTGATCAATCTCCTATAGATCCAATAGGGTTTAAAACCGACAGGGCGGCGCTCACGGCCGGTCCGACCGGGCCTGACGGCCGGTCTGACCGCGACACAGCCGTCGGTCCGACCGGCCAGATGGCCGGTCGGACCGGGTATTATCCCGTCGGTCCGACCGGCCAGATGGCCGGTCAGACCGGGTATTATCCCACTGGTCAGACCGGCTCTCAGGCAGGTCCGACCGCGCAATATGACGCCAGTCAGACCGGGCCCTGGGCCGGTCAGACCGGCGCAATTGTCCCGATACAGGGAATAGATCCAATGACTAATGCTAGTTATTTGTACTACTTTAGAACATTTGATCCTCCTGTATCTATTGCCACCACTAATCCTCAAATTCCCCCATATATTCCTAATGTTTATAATGATGTTTCTAGGGGATATCCTCCTGATACTAGGCAAGGCCAATATAATCATATTGCGCCACAAACCCAACCTATTAGGCCACCAAATCCACCACCAAATCCACAAGGGCCTAATAACATGGAGGATGTGATTAGCGATATTATGAGAAATAGATTTGGGATCGAAACTAGGAATCGTGATAGAGCCTACAAAAAGCCATATCCTGATTATTATGATAATGTGCCGTTTCCTAGAAATTATAGAGTTCCCGAATTTGGCAAGTTTAGTGGTGAGGATGGTAAGACCACATGGGAGCATGTAGGTCAATTTTTAGCGCAATGTGGTGAGGCTAATAGTGATACTTTTAAATTGCACTTGTTTTCTTTATCTTTATCCGGTAATGCTTTTACATGGTTTACTTCTTTACCGGCAAATTCTATTCATACTTGGGCTCAATTAGAAGAACAATTTCATGATTATTTCTATACTAGAGAAACTGAGCTTAGGTTATGTGATTTAACATCGGTTAAGCAAAAGTATAATGAATATGTTGTTGATTATATTAAGAGATTTAGAGATGTTAGAAACGGATGTTATACTTTGAATATAACTGATAGAGATTTGGCCGGACTTCCTCTTAGAGAAAAACTAGATGGCCAACAATTTCTTGATGTTAGTCAACTCATGCAAAGGGTTCTGGCTCAAGAAAGCCGGGTTAAGGATAATAAAAAATTTGCTAGACCATTCGACAAAAAGCCTAATGTTAATGTAGTTGATTACTCTGATGCTAGTGATAGTGAAGAAGAGGGTTATCATGATATTTATGTTGCCTAGTGGTCATGGACTAACAAAAATAAACCTTTTGTTTGTTCTAACCTAATGCCGACTCCTCGCAAAGATCGGCAAAGTGAGGTTAAATATAGTTTTGACGTGGCCAAGTGTGATAAGATTTTTGATTATCTTTTGCAAGAGAAACAAATTAGATTACCTAAAGGCCATGTCATACCATCACAAGAAGAGTTGAAACGTCGAGCATATTGTAAGTGGCATGATTCTCATTCTCACTCTACTAATGATTGCAATGTGTTTCGACGACAGGTTCAATCGGCCATAGATAAAGGACGATTGAAATTCACCGATGGCTCCAAGATGAAGCTTGATCATGATCATTTTCCGGTGAATACAATTAATTTTAATGCTAAGAAGGTGTTGATTCGGCCGGAGCAAGCCGAATCTACTAAGGGAAAGGAAGTGGTCATTGGTGAGCCAAGACCTAAGATGATGGTGCTAAAGAAACCGGAGGTTGGCGTTTAGAAGGAGAATAAGGGTGGGGCTTCAACTTCTAAGGCTCCTAGGAAGACCAAAGTAACCTTCCATATGCTTTTGGAGAAGTATGAGAGGCAAGGTGGTGGGAGGGTCCACAACAAAGGGAAAAGACCAAGATCACCTCCTAGGGAGCGATTTGGTCATTCACCAAGACGATCGCGTTCACTTCCATATTTTCATCCACAAAATATGTCATGGGGTTCCTATCCAATGCCGCCGCCGGGTTATCCTTATCCTTACTTCATACCATGGGGGGCAATGCCGCCAATGTACAATCATATACCTCCAATGTGGGAAGGACCACGGATGCCAATTCATGAGCGTTTGTCTTCACCAAACAAAAGCCGATTTTATGGTAAAAATCGTGTTAATGAAGAGAAGAGAGAAGGAAAGCGCACCATGGTGGAAGAAAGGACTTCGGAGGTGATTACTATCAAAGTAGGGTCCCATGATGTGCTTATACCTTCTGGAGATGGAGTTGGAAAGTCCCCAAGCAAAAAATCCGAAGCCGGTACCAGCTCCTCGCAGTCGACCGGTCTGACCAGGCCCTCTGGCCGGTCTGACCGCGGCCATGTAGCCGGTCTGACCGGGATATCAGGCCAGTCTGACCGCCGACTTGATAGCGGTCCGACCGACGCCTCAGGCCGGTCTGACCGTGCGCCAAGTGTTGGTCTGACCGGCACATTTGGCCGGTCTGACCGGTGGTCTGCGACCGGTCTGACCGGGCTCCAGCGCCGGTTTGATGGGAGGGCTGCAAAGGGCGATGTGAGGGCTTCATCGTCTTCAAGCAAGGTTAATAGAGGATATTATTTACCTTCTGGAACAGAGCCGAATCCTATGTGGATGCCTAAGGATTTGACGGCTACGCAAAAGAGAAGGTTGCAACGTCTTCGGGCCCATGAATTAAGGGAGAAAAAGGCCGAAGAGCAAAGAGATAAAAGGTTCAATGAGTTGCGACCACCACCGGTATGGAGGCCTAAGTCCATAGAGAAGGCAAAACCGATTGATGTAGAGAAGAAGGAAGAACAATCGGTTGATGAAAGTGAATCGTCTCCAAAAGAAGACATGGATATCAACATGGTATGTATGTTGCCTATGGAGTTTTGTGCTATGGATGAAGCCGAGGTTGCCCAACTCTCATTAGGTCCTAAAGACGCGGTTTTTGAGAAGCCCGATGAATCAAACCGTCACATGAAGCCTCTCTACCTCAAAGGCCATGTTGATGGAAAACCGGTCTCTAGGATGCTAGTGGATGGAGGTGCCGCTGTGAACTTGATGTCATACTCGTTGTTCAAGAAGTTGGGGCGCGAGGATGATGAGTTGAAGAAGACTAACGTGATTCTCAATGGCTTCAACGGTGAACCAACGGAGGCGAGGGGTATCTTTTCGGCGGAGCTCACCGTGGGAAACAAGACGTTACCAACCGCTTTCTTCATCGTCGATGTGCAAGGTAACTACAATGTTATTTTGGGTCGTTGTTGGATTTATGCCAATTGTTGTGTGGCTTCTTCCTTGCATCAATGTTTAATACAATGGGACGGCGATGATGTTGAAATTGTTCAAGCGGATACATCGGCCGAGGTTGCAATGGCCGATGCTATTTTTGAGTGGCGTCATGGGAATATCCAATGCTTACCGGGGAGGGATTTTTCTAGCTATGATTTTATTAGTATCTCCGATGGCAAATTTGTACCTATCTCTGTAAAGCCGGCTAGTGTAGCACGGCTAAGCCATATAAATTTGTATAATGAGTAAAGAGGCTAGTTTAGAGTGGTTACAAAAGAGGGTGCAAGAATATCGGTCTACAAAGGTCGATATTGGAGAAACCGTTGAGGATTTTGATGAAGTGGAGAAGCTTGGACAAGGGTTTACATCGGCCTATCCATTGGAGGAAGTAGACATAGGTGATGGAACTAAACCAAGGCCGAGTTTTGTAAACAAAAACATGAGAGCCGATTATAAGGTTAGGATAATCGAGCTACTTAAAGAGTATGTTGATTGCTTTGCATGGGAGTACCATGAGATGCCTGGTCTTAGCCGTGAGCTTGTTGAGCATCGGCTTCCAATTAAACCGGGTTTTAGGCCTTATAAACAGCCACCTTGTCGTTTTAATCCTTTACTATATGACCGAGTCAAAGAAGAGATTGATCGGTTGTTGAAGGCGGGGTTTATTAGGCCATGTCGTTATGCGGAGTGGGTTTCTAGCATAGTCCCGGTGGAGAAGAAAGGGAGTGGTAAGATTAGAGTTTGCATAGATTTTAGAGATTTAAATAAAGCCACTCCCAAAGATGAATATCCTATGCCTATAGCCGATATGATGATTAATGATGCCTCGGGTCATAAGGTGATTAGCTTTTTAGATGGTAATGCCGGCTACAATCAAATCTTTATGGCGGAAGAGGATATGTACAAGACGGCTTTTAGGTGCCTGGGTTTTGTTGGTTTATTTGAGTGGGTTGTCATGACCTTTGGGTTGAAGAATGCCGGTGCAACGTATCAAAGGGCAATGAATTTAATCTTTCATGATTTGCTAGGTATTATCTTAGAGATCTATATTGATGATATTGTTGTCAAATCGGATGGTATGGAAGGACATACAGCCGATTTGAGATTAGCTTTTGAGAGGATGCGCCGGTATGGTTTAAAGATGAACCCACTTAAATGTGCTTTTGGTGTGTCGGCGGGGAAGTTCTTAGGATTCATGGTGCATGAGAGAGGAGTTGAGATTGATCCTAAGAAGATAGAAAAGATTCGTGATTTCAAAGCGCCGACATGCAAAACGGAGGTTCAAAAGTTGCTAGGTAAGGTGAATTATTTGAGGAGGTTTATTTCTAACCTAGCGGGTAAAATCGATGCTTTTGTTCCTATACTTCGCTTGAAAAAAGAAGCCGATTTTACTTGGGGGGCAAAACAACAAGAGGCGTTTGAAGAGTTGAAGAGGTATTTGTCCACTCCACCCGTTGTGAGAGCGCCTAAAGCCGGAAAGCCTTTTCGGTTATATATTGCCTCCGAAGACAAAGTCATTGGTACCGTTTTGACGCAAGAGGAAGATGGCAAAGAATATATCATTACATATTTGAGCCGCCATCTTTTAGATGCCGAAACGAGGTATGTCTTTATAGAAAGGCTTTGTTTATGCTTATACTATGCTTATACCAAATTGAGGCATTATTTGTTATCTAGTACATGCATAGTTACTTGTCAAGCCGATGTTATTAAACACATGTTGCAAAGGCCAATTCTAAGTGGGAGAATTGGCAAGTGGGCATATGCTTTGATAGAATATAATTTGGCTTATGAACCATTAAAAACTATAAAAGGCCAAATTGTATGTGATTTTATAGTAGACCATCATATAGATGTTGCTTATGAGGGAGAGGTTTGCTTAGTTGAAGTTATACCTTGGAAGATTTATTTTGATGGTTCTTCTTGCAAAGAAGGTCAAGGCATAGGAGTAGTTTTGTTTTCAGCTAATGGTATGTGTTATGAGGCATCGGTTCGTTTGGAATGTTATTGCACAAATAATCAAGCTGAATATAATGCTTTATTGTTCGGCTTACAAGTTATGGAGATGGTTGGAGCTAAATATGTGGAGGCCTTTGGTGATTCGGAATTGGTGGTACAACAAGTCGCCGGAATCTATAAATGCTTGGACGGGTCACTAAATAGGTACCTCGATTCATGTTTGGATATTATTGCCAATTTTGATAATTTTGCTATTAGACATATTGCTAGGCGTGATAATTCTAGAGCAAATGACTTGGCACAACAAGCATCTGGTTATAATGTGAAGAAGGGGTTATTTCTGATATTAGAAGAGCCGGTGCTTGATTTTAGATCTTTGTGCGAAATTGGCAGAATTGGGGACCAAGGGCGGTCTGACCGGCATTGCACGGCCGGTCTGACCGGTGACCAGGGGCGGTCTGACCGGCCGCATGCCGCCAGTCTGACCGGCATCCCTGAGTGGTCCGACCGGCCCTGCGTGGCCGGTCTGACCGGTGTTGGGCAGAAAGCTGGGGGGCACGCTTCAATGGATTTGGAGGCCGAATTAATTGAGAATTCGGACATTTGTGCCCAAGATACAGAAGAGGATTGGGGAATTCCTTTGATTCAATATCTAAAAGATCCCACACTTAAGGTTGATCGGAAAATTCGGCGGCAAGCATTCAAATATACATTGCTTGATGGAGATTTGTATCGCCAAAACATAGATGGTGTCTTGTTGAAGTGCTTAGATGAAGATAAATCTAAAGTGGCTATGGGAGAGGTGCATGAAGGAATTTGTGGAACTCATCAATCGGCCCACAAGATGAATTGGTTGCTTAGAAGAGCGGGGTTCTATTGGCCGAAGATGATTGATGATTGCTTCAAATATTATAGAGGATGCGAGGCTTGTCAACGGTTCGGCAATGTTCAATTGGCGCCCGCCGCCGTGTTGAACCCTATAATCAAACCATGGCCGTTTCGAGGATGGGCTTTGGATTTCATTGGTCAAATTTATCCTTCGTCATCAAAGGGGCATAGGTTCGTGCTAGTTGCTACGGATTACTTCACCAAGTGGGCCGAAGCCGTGCCTTTGAAGAATATGACTCTTACGGAGGTAATTGACTTTATTTTGAAGCATATTATTCATAGATTCGGTATTCCGCAAACATTAACTACGGACCAAGGTGTTTCTTTTATGTCTAAGGAAGTGAAGAGTTTTACCGAATCTTATGGTATTAAATTGTTGAGTTCTTCTCCCTATTACCCTTAGGCTAATGGACAAGCCGAGTCGAGTAATAAAACATTGTTAAAGCTGGTAAAAAAGAAGATTGAGGAACACCCGAAGAGGTGGCATGTGGTGCTTTCCGAAGCATTGTGGGCGCATAGGATATCTAAACATGGTGCCACTAAAGTCACTCCTTTTGAGTTGGTTTATGGTCAAGAAGCCGTTTTACCGGTGGAGGTAAATCTTGGTTCTCTTCGTTATATCAAGCAAGATGATTTGTCAAGTGAAGATTACAAGACATTGATGGGAGACAACCTTGATGAAGTCATCGACAAACGCTTGAAGGCATTGGAGGAGATAGAAAAGGAGAAGAAGAGGGTGGCCAAGGCGTACAACAAGAGGGTGAAAGCAAAATTGTTTCAAGTTGGAGACTTGGTTTGGAAGACAATTTTGCCTTTGGGTACTCGATCCAAGGAGTTCGGTAAGTGGTCTCCTAGTTGGGAAGGTCCTTATCGAGTGTGCGGCATTGTTCGAGTGAACGCATACTTTTTGGAGACACTTCAAGGGGAGCGTTTTCAGCGAGCAATCAACGGGAAATACTTGAAGAAATACTTCCCGAGTGTTTGTCAAGACGCTTAGGAGGTACTATGGCCGGTAATTGGATTATCGTCCTAAGACCAAAAACATGCTCTATGCTTTTAGATTCACGTTGTTCATAAAAAAGGCAGGGGGGCATGTGTTTACACCCAAATTTGGCACCTAGGATTAAAATAGGAAAGATTGCCAAAATTTGGAAATCTACCGGTTTCCTCCGAGTGTGCCGGTCTGACCGCCATGTGTTGGGCGGTCAGACCGCCGGTTGAGGGCCGGTCAGACCGGCGGTGTGTGGCCGGTCTGACCGGCAGGTCCGAGTTCGACCCTGTTTCGTCGGGTTTCGAGGTTTCCTTGCTCGGGAAGGCATGTTTCGGGTTTCCTTTGGTTTTTACCCCGAGTTGGACGTGGAGGAGGGCCTGTAGAGGGCAAGACCAACCCCTATATAAGGGACAAGGCCGGTTCATTGTAAAAATCAATCTACAATCAATCAATCGAATCGTTCTTTTCATATTGCTTTTAGTTTCCTCTTAGTTTGTCCATCTTTGTCGGTTTGCGCCGTAAACCGTCCGCCGCCGCTGCGAGAGTGCGACATCTCTTTGTAGGTTTGTCCTGAAAACCTTCCGTTTGCCCACGAGAGGGGTAGTTATCTAGAAATCGGCTCCGCTAGCCGGTTTATTTATCAAAACCCATCTAGGTTTAGCTCTTTGTTAGATCGAGGTGGTTGGCGACTCTAGGATCACCGCAAGGCTTAAGGTGCTACGATCGTGCTTGTTAACTTGTCAAAAAAAAGTTGCCAACACATTGCTCGTTTGACCCCTTCCACATACAAACCGAAGATATGATCGATCTGACTATTTTGTTAAAGCCATATAACGGTGTTAACTGAATCCCAAAATACCACTTTTGTCCATATTTCTTCAAAGCTTTTAGACTTTGTTCGTTTCCCCAGGTTCCCAACTCCGCCTCTCGTTTTTCACACGCACGCTGTTTAAACTGCTAAAAGGAGCGTTTTTTATTTCAGAAAACCTACACCACGGCATCCCGTGGAGATGGGATCCCCTCCTCCTACCTCACTCCTCTCCCCAAAATCATCCGAATCCTCTCCTCCTACCTCACTCCTCTCCCAAATCACACGGCACTGCAGCCCTCCCCGTCGCCTCCTCTTACCTCACTCTCCTCCCCCAAATTAGACGGCGCTGCAGCCCTCCCTGTTGTCGTCGCCCACTGCTCACCGGAGCCGGCGGCCGCCGCCGCGAGGGAGGCCGCTACGGTGAGGAGCTCGGCGGCGAGCGTGGTGAGCGAGAGGGAGAGCGGGAGCAGGGTGCGGTTGCGGCGACATCCTCCATGGCCGGCAGCAAGCAGATCTGCTACAGCGTCGGTGATGAAGACCTCCATGGCCGGCGGCAGGGGTGCGCTGAGCACGTCGTCGTCCACAGCCGGCTGAGGAGGCTGGGGAGGCATGGTACAAGGTAGGCACCATATCTGTCGCCTCCTCTTCCTCCGCCGCCGCGCCGCCCCGCTGCTCGACCTCCTTGACCCCGCGACTCCTCCTCCTCTCTCTTAGGGTATCACGCTGATACCCAGGTACCAAGGTCTGATACCCAGGTACCAGCTCGATACCCAGGGTACCAGGTATCAGTCGATACCAAGGTACCAGGACCTCCCAACCCCGCGACTCCTCCTCCTCCTCCTCCTCTCTCTTGGGGTATCACGCTGATACCTAGGTACCAAGGTCTGATACCTAGGTACCAGCTCGATACCCAGGGTACCAGGTACCAGCCGATACCAAGGTACCAGCCGATACCAGTGTACCAGGTACCTCCTCAGTACCTTACCCAAGGTACCAGGAGGATTTGGCGGTGAGGTAGCTGCTACTCTGGGTGCTCAGGGGTGACGACGCCGGCGAGGTATCACACGTGAGGTAGCTGCTACTCTGGGTGCTCAGGGGCGACGATGCCGGCGAGGTATCACCCGAGCACGTGATACCGAGGAGAATTTTTGGCGGTGAGGTAGCTGCTACTTCGGCGATGACGCCAGCGAGGTAAGGTAGACACTGCTCCGGCGACGAAACCAAGCAGGTAGTGGCTAGGTATTGAGACAAATCACGTGTTTTGTGGGGTGCTCCTTTATGCTGTCGTTGCTTTTTTAGTTATCCCGTGAGTGCACTATTTCCACGGTATCCCGTGGGGTAGCAGCCCTCTTTTTATTTTGCAAAAAAAAAAGTTTCTATACAAGAGTTCTTAAAGAATCATATTAATCCATTTTTGAAAAAAAAGCTAATAGTTAATTAATTACGCACTAATGGATCGCTCTATTTTTCGTGCGCGGGACATGGGTTCCCAACCCAGGCTACCGAACACAGCCTTAGTTAGTTTGGCCTAATTATTGAATGGTGGAAATACTAGGAACGATTTTTCACAAATCATGCACTGAGTGTAGATTTTATAGATTTGTCACAAATTTGATTTAGATTTGTTATATTCTTCATTGGAGTTATCGTCGTCAATCCGTGCCAAGCAACAGCTAAAAAGAAATCCACGTATAAACTCATACGTATGGATGAACAGTAGGGCTTAAATATAAGGAAGTTATTTTTTTAATAATAGATCTAATTTAATGGTGTAAAATAATGGGACCACCAATGTAAGTAAAAATCAACATTGAGATTAGAAGTGACACGTGAAGAACGTTTGTGCGTGTATAGAAAGTTTAATGGACTTTTAAAATATAACTAGAAAGGTAGCCTGCACATTCACGCGGGCATATATTGTACGCAGGATTAAACTTTCCGATTTAGCCGATTTGATCAGGCATCACTAAAATTTCCAAAATTTTGGTCTGAAATTTTGAACAAAATTTAGTTGAATTTGAACAAATATTACCAAAATTCATGAAAAAATAAAAAAATTTTGGCCAAAATAATATCGTATCGGTGGGGTCTAAAATGAGCGAAATTTCCAACCTGATTGTACATTGCGTTTGAAATATAGAATATCAATCGGCTGACATCTCCCATGTTTAAAAGTACTTTTTTTATTTGAATAAAACCCATCAGGTGAAGCCTCCACTGTTCTTCGGCATTTTGCTTTGATAATTTTTCCAAGATATTTGTTAGGTTTAAAATATATCATATTTTATACATCTGTATAAATAATTATCTATGATCTCTTTATTATATGAAAGGAAGTTTGATTTAGTTTGTTTGGAAAACATGTCTAACAAATCAAGTGTAAATTAGTAGTAAGGCGTTTAGACCTTTTTTTAATAGAATGTTTACTTGCTTTTTTTTTTACAAATTCTAAAGAACTATATTGTTAATAAATATGTTTTATTTGTACCATCAAGTAGTTCTCCTTCTGGTAGGTTTAAGTTGATGCAAGTTGTTACATACCTACATAAGGGTATTTATATATACACCAATTTAAATAAAAATCAACTACAGATATAGATCTAATCTAATAGTCTAAAATAACGGGTCCACTAATTAAATAAAAATAGACGGTGAAATCGTTTATAGGAAGTTTAATGAATGATATTTACGTAAATTTATAGAATAGTATGTTTTATCTTTAAATAGAATTAAAGATCATTAATTTTTTTTCAATGCGTAGGTTTACTTTTTTTTTCTTCAGATAAACAGCTGGTACGTCTGTACTTCATTGTTTTTTTTAGTCGTATGTAGTATGGAGTACTTGCAGTTATAGTTCTCCCGTATACATATAAAGATTAAGGAATAAGTTTCTTAAAATAAAATATATCTAATCTAATGGTTTAAAATATTGGGTCCATTGATTTAAGTGAAAATCAACGGTCGGGTTTGACAGTCCCACGTGGCGGCTTAGAAGCGTTTGTAGAAGTGCCACGTGGCAGTTTGAGAGTGTTTATAGGAAGTTTAATGGACAGACAGATAGATAAATAGATAGATTGATGTGGACATTACTAGAAAATTTTACATTATGAAACAGAGGACGTATAAAACAGCGGGAATATTAAATAACACGTGACAAATTAATATCTAAAACTCTAGTTCTCGAAGGCCCATTCGTTCTCCTTGCGGATCTCCTCCTCCTCCTCTGGTGTGAAGTCGTTGACGATCCCGAACATGTCCCTGATCTCCTGTACCGTCTTGCCCTTGATCAAGTCAGCCGTGTGTTGGCACGCAAGATCAAGTAGAGACGGCACGTTCAAGTAGTTGGCGGCCAAGATCAAGTTGAACAGCATCGTGTTGTCGACATCGATGAAGCTGGCATCGAAGCTCTTCAGCTCCTGATCCTTCACGGCGACGTCCTCGGCAGCGGCGGCGGCGGCGTGTTTCTTGCAGTACTCGAGCACCTTGGCGAGGACGTTGGAGGCGACGTTGGGGAGAGGGACGCCGTTCTCCGTGCAGCCGTCCTCGATCATGTTGCTCACTAGCTTCGACATGCTCGCCTCCGCCTCCGTCACCTGGAAGTGCTGCCCGTCCGAGCTGATCAGAAGGATCTTGCTGTCGCCGGCGTCGGCTCCCTCCTTTACTGCCGCCATTGATCGATGTCGGTTAGTTTCTCGTCGAACACGCTTGAGGTTGAACACGGACGGACGGGACGAACTCGCTAGCTGATCGATTGGTTGCGCGCGGTGAGCTGAACGGTTGAAACAACGTTAATCGGTGCTTGGCGATCGAGCTGTTTGGTGCTTTGTGTATTTATTGCGAGAACCAGGCCGAGCAACTCCGATTCGTACTCCAAATCCAATCTGATTCTAATTAGTTTTTGATTGTTTATTTCTGCGTTACTTTGCAATAACGCCAACACAGCTTAATTAGCTACTTCTACTCAGTTTAATCGGACTCCGCTTCAAAACCGAAGTACCCCTTGTAGGTGTTATTTCTGGAGAGATTAAAATTAGTTTGTTTTCTTTCGGTATATTACACTACATGCATGCATATACCTAATATGAGAATTAATAAAGACTCCGAGTAGGTGCGTGTGTCTCCTGCTAGATCACGAGAGCTACTACAAGATTAATTAGAGATCACCAAGAATTTCTAAGACCTCATCAACCAAAACAGATGGGAGTAACTAAAAAGTTGTTACAAATTCTTTGAGGTAAAAAACATTTATCTATTATCTACTAATAGTCCATTAAACTTTTCACAAACGCTCTCAAGCCGTCACGTGGCGCTCCTACAAATGCTCTCAGTCGCCACATGGCACTATCTGATCTCACAGTTTATTTTTATTTAGATTGGTGGACCCGCTATTTTACACCATTAGATTAGATCTATTATTAAAAAAGTAAAATGCACCAACGACCCTTAAACTTGTCAGGAGGTTTCACTTAGATCCACGAACTTACAGAGCGCACATCGAGTTCCCTAAACATGTTTTATTGTATCATCCCGGTCCAAAGCCGCGTTTGACCGTGGTCTTGCCTACGTGGCACGCCATGTGGACGATGACATGGAATTTTTTATATTTTTTTCTCCCTTCTTCCTTCTTTTTTCTTCGGTGGTGAGAGGCGGCACGAGGGGAGGGGCTGTCGCAGTGGTGCTTGGCGAGGTGCCGGCTGACCGGCGCGGCGGAGGGAGGGCGGCAGAGGCGGGGAAGCCTGCGTGAGGAGGCTGTAGCCAAGGTCGGAGGCGAGCACGCGGCGGCGGCGAGCACCTGGGGGCGGCGTTTATGGGGGGAGGACAGCGGCGGCGATGCCGAACCACCGCACGGCATGGGCGCTGCCACTGCTGCAGTTTCGCTGAGCCGCCGTGCTGGAGGCGAGCGAGCGACGGGAGGGAGGACAGCAATGCTAACAGGAGGGAGGGGACGGGGGCGACTCTGGGAGGAGGACGGCGGCGCTGACGGGAGGGAGGGAGACGGCGGCGACTGGGGGAGGAGGACGGCCGCGCCGACACACCGTCTCGCCTCGGCCGCATCGTCGCGTGCCTACGCCGCCGCCGCCGCTGCCGCACTGAGCTCCCCCGTGCCGGCCTCTCCCTTCCATTGCCGCCACCTGTGTCCGCCCGAGCCGAGACGACGCCACGGCCGATCTTTCTTCTCCTCTCCACAACCGCCATCTCCTCTCTCACCGCCGCCCCGAGCTCCCTCGTGCCGGCTTCTCCCTTCCATCAGCGCTGCCCGTTTCCGCCCACGCCGAGACGACGCCAACAGCTCCTCTCTCACCGCCACCTCTCTTAAAAAAGTATATTTCCTCATGTTTATAACATACAAGCGCTACAATCGTTGTGCCGTAATTACGAGTTGATAAGATACAAACTCTAATATTGTTCTTCCGTATATACATGATTGTAAACAAAACAACAAATATTTACTAATGTTCGTCGGAAGAAAAAAAAACATACGCATGTACATAATAAAAGACCAAAAAATAACACACATCTATAAAAATCGATGGTCTTTAAAATACGATTTTCTACGATATGAAGTCAAAATATATTACTTCACAAATATAAATATATAAATATAATTAAATTAAGATCCGTAATAAATGTCCGACCAATGTTGCTTAAACAATCTTCTATATCTATCTATTGTAAACTCCATAAGTATATTAAACTTTCTGCAAGCACTCTTACGCTGCTATGTGGCTCTCAGAGAGAAACCCTAGAAATCTATTATACAGTAAAAGTCTGTTAAAGTTCCTACAAACCCTCTTACGCTGTCACGTGGCGCTCTAATAAATTATATAAATCCTAGAAATTCAAAGGAAAAAAAGAAAAGCATCGGACCGTCAAATTTCACTTAAATTGGTTGACCTACCCCGTTATTTTAAACCTTGGATTAGATCTATTAAAAATCTCATGCTGCTAATCTCTATCCCGGAAAAAACATAACGTGCGTATATGATCGAAAATATATAAAGCAAAAAATAAAAGAAATATGCACAGTACATAGTAGAATTGGAAAAATCATTAGCGCCGACACTGATGTGTCGGCACTAATGATTAAACTATGATTTTAATAAAAATAATATTACACAAATATACACAGCTAAACTTAATCTCTGATAGATAAAATATCAAAGCTTCATTAACTTAAATATGCCATTGATGACTTATGATGGTTATATTGTAGTGCTAAATAAATCATGACAAATGACGCAAACATGTAATAGTTAATGTGATAATAATGTTTCAAATAATTTCATATCATATTTTATGGTTTCAAATATCACTTGACAAATGTACAATGTTAATTTGAATCACATAGTAAAAATTAAAATAACAAAACATAGCATTGTTTTTTAAGTACATCTATTTAGGTTTATTTAATTTTGGGAGAGATTGAGATTCTCAAAGTATTTGGAATTTTTCAAAACTTTTTGTTCTTATTTGAGGAGTGAGAAGAACAAATAATAGATAGATGAGAAAAAATAAATTAAATTATAGCAAGTGGTTTTGCTATGATAAAACAACAGAATTTAGCTTTGGTTTTTATGTGAATCTTTGTAGATTTATTTTGGGTGAGATTGGGATTCTAAAAGTATCTGAAAATTTTCAAAACTTTTTTATTGCTATTTGAGGAGTTAGAGGCATACATGATTCATGATGTAAAAAAATATATATAAATAAGACTTTAAATAGATTTTTTTGCTACGATACAACCCCTTAGTTCATCACGAGAATTATGTATTTTCTTTGCCAAGTATTATTGGCAAAACATGAACAATCCAGTAAAATACGAATAAAATTACTTATATTATATTTTTTATAGTTGATAGAAAATCAAATGGAGTGGGTATAATTGATGGACGAATGTTATACACCACTGAACCCAACTGTAAATGCACTCTAGCGAATTAGTTAGTGTAAATAAGTTTGTGAAAATAAGTACATTCTTAGAATTAGTAAATGTGTCTCCATTAGCTATAAACAACATATGGTGGAAACAAATCTGGCGCTAAAGTATAAATCTTTATCAAAATATAAATAATGATATGGTCTTTTGCATTTTTTTTAAAAGTAGTGTCGAATGATTAACCCCACTCATTTGAAAAACATAATACTGTATATACTCCATTAATATTTGAGAAGTACTTATTACTAACTTCATATACAAATATTGTCTATTCTCTACCACAAATCGACCAGGACAAAGGGATTTTTCGGGACATTCCTATCACATTAGTAATATATTAAAACATACTGTCTATATTACAGAAAATATATTTATTTTTTTATTATTGTAGATAATTTACATTCCTTTACCGTGTATATAGTGATGTATGATTTCTTTTAGCATTTCGTTTACTTAATAAAACATAAGATGCTGTGTATCTGTGCGGGCTTCCTTTCCGATTTATATTCCGGAAATGTTCTCCTATTTATATTTTATCATTATAACGTTTCAAACACAGCCTATCATACATGCCCATGCGAATGCGCGGGCTACCTTCTTTTTTGAAATGTAAATATATCATACGTAAACTGCAACTAGATAATTACAAACTTACGATGTAACTTTACATATATGTACAAATAGTGTATGTTTCAAAACTTATAATCTGAAATGTTAGCCTAAACACGCATGATCATCTAATTTTGTGAAGCCAATAGCCCTGTAGTAGATGAATCCTCCCCGTAGGGTAGAGTTGTCGGTGTAGTTGTGGACTGGCCGTCACTAGGTTTGATGTCTAAAGCGTCGCCGGTGATCGATCCATAGGTTGATGTAGCGGTAACATACCACCTTGTGAAATCACCTGGTTAATCATGAATGGGTCCCAATGATAAACATGGAACATGGCTTACCGTGCGACAGAGCTCGTCATTCTCGCATGGTGCCCCTTCCCTTCTTATATATCCTTCTTATATATGAAATCAGTACTAACGCTTCGCAATCGACGGGTACATCACCTACTAGTTAGTCATAAACATGGGTGAGCAGGTTTCACTTTAAATAATCTAACCAGTTAATTAAGCTATGTGATTCTTTTAGCCGAGATCAATGAGAACATATACTCATCTAGTTAACACAACTATATAAATCTGTAGTTGTCGGTGGTAAGGCAAAGTAGCGGTGCTCGAGAATAGAACAATACAAAGCTCTATCTTTCTGCCTCAAGATTTCAGATTACAAAATTCATGGATTTGTGATGAAAAACCATTAATCAACAAAAGATTTCAGATTCCAGAAACGGATGACGTAAGCGACAACACAATGCTAAAATACGCTATTTCAGACAATATTGTTACTGACCCAACCTTCAACTAACCATGACCACTGAAAAATTAACTTTACTCCATTAATCACCACTTCATGTAAGATAGCGAATTGGATGATACAAAATAAACAATTGACTATATAATATGCAGTAACATGAGCAAAAGTGACAGAAATTTCCAGCACGTTTGTTTGTACCTTAAATAAGAAAATTAATGCCAGGCCACCACATATAGTTAATTTATCTATGTAGCGGTGTTAAATAGAAAGATAGTTGTATATTAACAGATTTTTTTTTCAGAAAAACATGTTAAGATGATTTTTCTTTGGTTTTTACATTATAAGACATTTTGGGTTTTGATTTTTAATAGATTCGTACATTAGTCGATGCATATGTTTCATATATGTGGCTAAGTTTATATAGATGTTAGTGAATCTAGACAAGAGAAAGAGAGTCCAAAATGTTTTTATAAAATAAAATGGTGGGGGTACTAGAATACCGGAAAGGTTCATTGATCGATCTGCTTAACTCGTGCAGCCGCACACGCCCCCTCCCCAATGCCCCTGCGTGATTAGCGGATCGGATCCCGCTAATTACCCATATTAACGTTAATTACCTTGATTAGTATTTTTTTAGTACGCAAAAAATTGGGATAAGTATGGAGAATTAACAACAATAAACTTTCAACGAAGGTTTGAAAACTTTTACGTGAAGATTTGGAACATTCAAATCAAGATTTTTTGAAATTTTTAACTCAGATTTGAAAACTCTCAACTCAAGATTTAAAAACTATTAACTCGGATTTAAAAACTCTCAACTCAAACTTGAAAACTTTCAACTCGGTTTTAAAAACATTCAACTCAGATTTAAAAACTTTCGATTCAGACTTGAAAACTTTCAACTAGGATTTGAAAGTTTTTAGTTCAGAATTAAAACCTTTCAACTCGGATTCGAAAACTTTCAACTCAAAATTAAAAAAATTCAAGTCGAGATATTAAAACTTAACTTATGTTTGAAAACTTTTAACTCAAATTTAAAAACTTTCACCTCGAAATTCAAAATATTTGATTCAAATTTGAAAACTTTCATCTCAAAATTAAAAACATTCAACTTTAATTTAAGAAACTTTCAATTTAAATTCAAAACTCTCAACTGATATTGAAGGTGAAAGATTCAATTTATAAAATATCGCAAAAAAAGTCACGCGTGTGTGTGGACAGAAAAAGGGGGCGATTTCTGAAGAAAAAAAAGTGTGTGTGGACAGAAAAAGGGGGCGATTTCTGAAGAAAAAAAAGTAAACTAACGCCCGAGTTCCCGAAAAAAAAAAGGAGAAAACGAGCGTATGCGTGGGCCGTGTGGGTCGGAAGTGCGCGCCTGCGGCGTGTATGCGCGAATTAGGAATTGTGCTAGGTAACTCCGATGGCAATGGTCGAGGCAGAAGCAACACGTTCCACTATCGTCAAGGATCCTGAAGCTTTATGCTGGTGGTGGACACTGGACACTATCGAACGAGATGTTGCGAAGTTTGTGGAGCGATATATTTTTGTACTCTTGGAGGAGTACGCAAGTTTGCAGTTCATCAGACAAAAAACGATTCTTCATAATTAAGCAAATTAATAATAACAGAGCTCAAACTGTTACAAGGTAAGCAACGCACAGCGCACACGAGCTAGCTATCCAGCTGCATGAATCACCTAAACCATGAATAAACCTACTAATGCACAAAATGCCTAATTTGGCAACCTACATCTCATAGGCCCAGGCGTTCTCGTTACGGACCTCGGCCTCCTCCTCCGGCGTGAAGTCGTTCTCGATCCCAAATACCTCCCTGACCTGCTCCGGCATCATGTCTTTGATCAAGTCCGCCGCGCGCTGGCATGTCAGCTCCAGCAGGCACGGCATGTTCAGGAAGTTGGCGGCATTGATCAGGCCGAACAACTTCTTCCTGTCGACGCTGACGAACTCGGCGTCGAACTTACTGAGCTCCTCCTCTCCGCTAGCTTTCGCGGCGGCGGTGGCTGTGGCGGTGGCGGCGGCGTGCTTGTTGCAGTACTCGACCACCTTGGCGAGGATATCGGAGGCGACGTTGGCGAGAGGGATGGCGCCGTTGGTGGCGCAGTCATCCTCGATCATGTTACCCAACGTCTTGGACAGGCTCGCCGCCGCCTCCGACAGCTCGAATTTCGCGCCGTCCGAGCTGATCAGCAGGATCATCTTCTCGCCATCGGCGGCGCCGTCTGCTGCTGCTGCCGATGCTGCCATCTCGGTGGCGCGCTTGGTGGGCACCTGATCGATCTGACGAGTGCGCGCTTGCTAGTTTATCACGAATCTATTTGCGTTTCTCTGCAACTGGATCGTTTGGAAGTTGTAAGTTTTGGTGGTCTGTATTTATGGATGAAGCCAGAGATTAACAATGTCCGAGACGGAGTCTGTTTAAATCTGTTGAAACAAATCCGAGTCTAACTGGGTTTCTGATCTTTCGCGTTTGTTGCTTGGATCACGGCGACGTAGACCTCGCTTTCCTACAATATGTGTGATCTATGGTGCAATTATGTTTTAACAAAAACTAATCAACATGAATCTTAAAATTGAAATCTATTAGTAAGAAATATAATTTTTAAATGAACTATATACTGCTACTTTAGTGTAACTTATATATGCAATAATTTTTGGAGAAATTCATAATGCCATGGCGTAGGATAGAGAGAAATCCATTAACATATAATCACTTAAAAATGATGCAATGGTTAAATATAATTTTGCATGCATTTTTATTTTTGAAGTGTGGTATATTATGAATGTACACTTGAATATATATCCATGATATACTAAAAGTGCATTAAATACTATCTAAAGTTGATTAGATGGAAATATAATATAGTTGAGAGCACTCATACAAAAGATTATTTATATTGCTCAGATTATTTGAGCATACTAATTTCAAGAAAAATATGAAGGCACCGGATTTTTATGCCGTGGTGTGAACTATTTATATATGAGTTAGTTTTTTTTTTATGATTTAGCTATGCATGTTTGCAAAACAATGCATGCTACTGCAACATGTGTTGTTGAATTTTTTTCATGTTTTTTTAAATTGTAATTCGGTTGACATGCAAAAGACTAATGGCGCGTGTTCCTCTGAATTTTTTATTCAATGGCTTGGACTATTTATATGTGAACTATGCCTGAATCTTATATTCTCATATAGGAGTAGTATAATATAGGCACATGAAGCTTACATTACTGGTTTGACTCCAACAATTAGATTAAAAATTAGACGTATAACTTATAATTATAATTATTGATTGTTTCTTTAAGTTTGATATCTTAAAGAAAATAGTGAGAGGAGAGGAATGAAGAGCATAGAGTCGAGCCACAGAGGGAAAGGAAAGGTTGGGAAGTGCTTTGTGCAGGTTGGGGGGGGGGGGCGAGGGATGGAGGAGACTCTTTTTCGAAATGATTTAGCTAATGATCAAATGCTTTTTTTTTCTCTGATTTCTATATTTGTTTTCTAATTTTAAGGCGTGGCATATCACAGGTTATGATTTTCTTCTTAAGGTAAGTTTAATGACTGAAAACGGTTTTAAGTGGAAACCAATGATAAGATGTTTTGTGTTATCCTTTTAATTTCTAAGTTTCTTCTTTTTTTAAAAAAAATGTGACATATGGTGACTTAATAGCGCTCTAAAATATGACACATAGTGATTCCGTATTTTTACTAATTTTTATTATGTAGAATAATTTATGATGACATGATACATATTGTCAGTTTTTGGTTGTTTGGTTGTTGGTCCATGTTCAAATTATGTATTTCAAATTTTATAAACCAAAATATGAGTAATAAAGATCCTGATTTACTTATTTAGTTATAAATAAACAAAATAAAAGAACATTACAAACAAATTAAAAATCGGCTGTTATTTGGTTGTAGAAGATATGTCTATTCAAATTATGTATTTAAATTATTATATAGTAATATATGGTTATATAGATCTTAATTTATTTATATATCTAGTTATAAAAACAACAGTTCAAATAAATTAAAAATTAGATATAACTATGATGATTTAGCTATCTAACTGTTGATTATTGTTCTTTAAATTATTCGTAAAAAATACATCGTTTAATAATTTATAAAATCATTAAATCATTAATCATCTCTGTATATAATATACGGCCCAAATTCCACAAATACATCGTTTAATAATTTATAAAATCATCAAATGATTAATCATCCTAGTATATAATATACCGCCTAAAGTCCACAGCCGTGCCTAACCCGTTTAACCTCAAGCTAAGAAATTAAGTTAAAAACTACCATGTATAAGACAAACGGCAAGGAGAGGAGAGGTCCAACAGAGGTAGTAAACAGGTATGTGTGCGTACGTACGGTACTATGAATGGGAGAAGATTTTGTTTTTTAATATATCTATTTGGTCCACCAATTTAAGTTATCTATAATTATTAGTTGATCTAATGTACTCAAATAATGAATCACGAAGCATTTATAGAATATCCATGTGTCAGATTAAGAATGTGTTTATAAGATGTTTAATTAACTTAATATATAATAGAAATAAAAGGACGGAGGGAGAGCTGGCCAGACCTAGTAGATCAAAGTCTATTTGTGAGTTTTTTCCATAAAAAGGGTTCCAATTTTTGTTATTTGGGGATAAAAAAAGCAAGCGAAAAGGAGTACAGAAAACGTACGTTGTATGTCGTACGTGCATATTCCACACAGAGACAGAGACAGGGATGGAGGGATGCTTTTTTTAACGGAGATCTAACCATCTAAAATAATAGGTCCACCGATTTAAATAAAAATTTATGGTCAGATTTTTCTATTTTATTACGATGCCACATGGTGGTATGAGAGCGTTTATAGGGTGCTACGTGACGATACGGGAGTGTTTATAGGAAATAAACTTTTATAATATAAGAGAAGATAGATAGATAGATAGATAGATTTATGAGTGCAACTGTTGTTAAAATTCTACACATATAAGAATAGTACATGATATATATGCCAAATTCCCAATATATGATCTGCATATGCACTGAGTATGTGGCTAACACATATTATAGAATCTATCTTATAATTGTGGTAAACTCTTGTTTAACGGAGACTTGACTGGATTTGCGCACCTTGGGAGTTATCTATTGACTTGATCTAAATCGTGCTGGCCCGGTACCTACTGTATACCTCACATGCCGAGCCGTTGACATTGACATGATACTCTACAGCTGAAGCTTTTTTGAGTTATGTTGGGAAGAATCACTAACAAAAACAACTTAATTTTTGTGATATAAGGTGAAATCCTGAAATATATGTTCCACAAGAACTGTGCGACTGATTAAGAAACTTTCGTATACATTGATGGCCAAATTATAAAAAGGAAATTATATATTGAAGAGATTAATGGCCTCAAAGATTGGAAGTGTTCACTGCATGCATGGAATAATTAATGATTTTTACCCACAAATGATGAAGGGTGGTTGCCTACTTGCGAAGTGGACATGCAAGTTGATTAACTAGGACTGATATTAACAAATTAGACCTTGTCTCATGTGTTGCTAGTTAGTCAATATAAATAAAATGGCCTTTCCTTGGCTGTCCTTTGCCAGTTAATTTGATAGTTGCCCCTTAACAACTAAATAGCGAACCTCTGAGCAGATGGCCTTAATATCTATCTACTGAAGCTTGGCTTCGACGACCTTATCATCGAATTAGCGTGGCAGTTTAGCTCGGAAGACAGGCAGAGCAAGAGGTAGCACATCCTCTCCGAAGGGAAGATATGAGCGACCAGAGCTCGTACCCTAACCCTGCTCAAGGTATTAGATCTGTCTGCTCATCCCTTGATTATATTCTAATTATTAGTACATCAGTTCAATTGCTTTTGAATACACAAGAACTTTTTTCGATTCATATAAGGAGTGAAACGTTTCCTGTGCAATTAACAGGGTTTAAAATTTCAGATCAATCGGATTCATCCGATGCGTAATTATATTGATCCAGTTTGTTGTGCATTCGGAAAATTTTGTTCAAAACTTCAGTTATGGCGGATCGAAATTACCGAAATTTTGGTAGAAATAGCCAAAACAAAATTTTGAACCCGAGAAAATAATACTGCAAAATTACTCTGTTTTAAGAGACCTTTTTGTATGTCTGTTCGGAAAGAAAGGAAGACGACGCAATTTTGGAGTAAATTAGTGTTGCCATGATTACGCAGGGTACTACCAGGGTCCCCCAGCCTCGGCGGCGGCCGGCCAAGATAACACGGCGGCCGGCGGTGGCAAGTCCAACGCAGCCAAGAAAGACCAACCGAGCTTCATGGATAACCTGTCCGTAATCCGTCTCTGCTCTACTAATTAATCTCTCTCGCTTTCTGTATATTTGTAACGCCATTTATGTACTAATTGCTTCTTAATCCATTTTGCAGCCTTGCTTGCCTCCCCTGTGCCCGCCCAGCCGAAGCCAAGAACGACGCGAGCTAACTAACCTTGCTCCATCAGGCAGCCTAGCACGGGAAGGAAGGCTGCAAAGCTACTGCATGATTATGCCCAGTGTTTGTTTGATTATTCAGCATCTAAGTAAGCACGTCGTTAATTAGTTCAATCCGGATTGCTCATTTGCGTTTTGTGTACTAGTGAACGATTTATGTATTTGTCGGGGGCGCATGTAATTTAATTTATTCCCCTTTGGATTCATTATTCAGTTTATCTTGTCATGATTTTGTGAGGAAAGAATCTGTTTTACGCATGGTTAAATTGTACTACTACTACTTCACACAATTCTTTAAAAAATTCTCGAGGTTAAAAGTTAACTTTTCAAAAAGTAATTTTTTTGTTCTTTGGGGAAGTCAAGAAAGAAGAGGATAAATATCTTTTGTCACTACTACTTCAAAACCTATAACATGTGGCATTCTCACGGGGGCCCCAAATTTGGCCGACTTCCCAAGTCCCGTGCACGCTGCGCCCCTCTACGCTAATTACGTGTAATCGCAATTAGCATAAATAATATTTTTTTCTAATAGATTAGTAAATTTGCCCATGCGTTGCTACCGGAAAAGGTAAAATTACGATTAGAAATTATGGTTTATTTTTTGTGATCTGATTCCCTTAAAAATTACTACAATTGATTATGATTGACTTATAATCATTTAGTTGATGGATCTATCATAAGTATGAATCATGTGTAGCTTCCAGACTGTTTCCTCTCAAAATGAAAAGAAAAGGATGAAATTAAGAACCGAGCACCAATAACCAAAAGCGATGTGCCAAACAATCAGTAAAAAAAAAAAAAGAAAAGGCAAACAATCAGCCCAAAGAACTTGAATCGACTACTAGTTAATAACTAGAAACGTTATTTTCTGCCCCCAGGACGTAATGTGACTGTGAGACCTTAATCTTTTCCACACCCAGGACGTAATGTGACTGTGAGACCTGAATCTTTTGTACATCCAAGTTGTAGGGATCAGATGTTTACAGGGCTTTAGTCAGAGACGGGATGCCTAACCATCTGCCAAAAAAAATGTGTTTGACCATCGGAAAAATGATTTTTATAGCAGTGACGCAGCCATACAGGACGCACAGGAGACAGACAGATGATTCGTCCGTTAGAGCACTACTTCCATGACTCCTAGGCTCCTAGCCAAGCACACGGCGGGTGATGGGTGATAATAAGCTATCTATTTATTTCAGCTTACTACTAATAATTTAAATTATAATAATTCTAAGGTCTTATTTGATTCAGCTTAGAGTTATTAGGAGTAAATTGAAACAAATAGATATCTTATTATGATATATTATTACAATGTATAAACACATAGCTTATTTAATCAACTGTAAATGTGCTTTTTAGATTAATTGGTTGGCTAAACAACTAATAATCCAGAGAAACAAACAACTAACAACTTATATTCTATATCGGCTTATTATAATCTAGCTTATAGTAATCTGACTTAATAATTTAGATTATAATAATCTTAACCTGCAACAAATGTCACGACCGCGAGGGCCTGTGCCATGTCGCGGAGAAGCTGGCGGGCCGGAGGAAGGAGGCCAGGTGCGTTCCGCCGCCTATCCCAGACTGCAGGTGGATATCTCCTATTCGAGCGTATCAAGGGCCATTGCACCTCGATCGTCCTTGTTCCACTATGTTGGCACCGTCCCGAAGCCTTGCACTCATGCTCTGGCCCCAGCACCGTAGTGTGCGGTGTGCCCTCCATGTCCGTGGCCATAGTTCATCTTCCTCTTCATCTCATCATCTGCCGGATTTATCCTTGTTAGACGGTTGTGGAAAATGACAGAGTGCACTGTCAGGACAGGGACGACTCTGCGTGTAGATCGAGGAGGACGGAGAAGATCAGAAGAGGAACAAGGACGCCAAGGAAGGAATCGGCCGAGGCCGGGAGCAAACCATTGTGGCCTTTCTGTTGTTGCGCGTGGGCTTGCATGTGGTGATTAGTCGCTAAATCGCTGGGCTCGTTGTTGGGGCCTTGGGGATGGGCAATGTGGAGTCAAGGGAGATATATCTGACTCACCCAGTTTTTAGCTTGGTGCCAGCGCTGTAGATGGCCATAGAGTCAGAGGCCCGATGGCCTGGTGATTTGGTCCGGCCTAGGCACGGCCTGGCCCGACAGCCGTGCCGTGCCTGGCTGCTACCTCGGTACGCTGGGTCAGCACAAAGTTCAGGGATGCGAAACAAAGAATAGAGAGGAAAAATAAACGTATTATATGGCACAACCCAAAGAATAGGAACGTAAAATAGACTTATTTCAAAAAAGGCACGATGGGCCGCCCGTGCCTTCGGGCCGGCACGGCACGGCCCGACTGCTAGTGGGCTGTGCCTTGACCCGAGGTGCAGCCCGTGGACAGGTATGGCACGAAGCGCCGACCGTGTTGTGCTCGGGCGGGCCTTATGGCCATATATAGCGGCAGCCACTTCTTCCGCTTCCCTGGCAGCAGCCATCTCTTCCGCTCCATGGCCACCAGATCCGGCTGGCGGGAGCTCAGCCATGAGGCGACCGGCGCCCTAGTGTTAGAGTTGTCTGTTGGATCACTTAGGTTTAGATCTAGTCGGGTGGTTCTATTTGCGATCGATGATTGAACAACAATAGAAATTAAGGGAAAGGGTTTAGTGATGTGACCGGTTGACGCGTTGGATGAGGAGGAAGTCCCGGCCATCGTCGTTGATGTCGCTTTGCTTATCGAGGACGGCAGCGACGATGTGCTTGACGGCGCTGGTGGTCGTAGCAGTGGGAGTCGTGGTCGACGATGAGGCGTGGCGCGGCGGTGGCACGTTCCCGTCACTGGCTGCGCCCCCTCGATCGGTTAGGGTTTGTGGGGTGGAGTGGCGGCAGCGATGAACCTCGTGTCTTGTGCCGTCCCGTCCTCCACCCCTCTTTATATGGCACAGTGTGACGGGGGCCCACCAGCCATTGGGCTGGGCACCCCCGATCAGGGCGCAGGTCAAGGCCCTCTTGAGCCATTGGGCTCAAGGGAAGGGAGATCTATCTAACGTTCTCCCCCTTGATCTCACTATTTCTTTTAACTTTTTCTATTCCATCACAGATTTACATATCGAGCATGTTTCATCGTCACGGTTAATTACCGATGGATTCGATAGCCACTATACACATCTCTATTCAGAAAAAGATACTTTAACTTTTGGGTCCTATAGTCCAGGATTCATAAGGCTTCCCTTAAACCCATGCATGCTACATGTTCCTTGAACATGTTGGGAGGTAGGCCTTTCATGAGCGGATCCGCGAGCATTCTTTCTGTTCTAATGTGCTCGAGACTGATTGTTTGATCCCGGACTTTGTCTTTCATAACATAGTACTTTATGTCAATGTGTTTGGCAGCACCACTTGACTGATTGTTGTGAGAGTACATTACTGCAGGTTCGCTATCACAGTATAACTTTAGTGGTTTCTCAATATTGTCAACCACCTTTAAAACCGGGTATGAACTTCTTTAGCCAGTTCACCTGCCCCGTTGCCTCATAGCCTGCTATAAACTCGGCATACATAGTAGACCCTGCAGTGATGATCTGTTTTGAGCTTTTCCATGAAATAGCTCCTACTGCTAGGGTGAACACGTATCCCGATGTTGACTTTGTATTATCTTTTGCAATGTCAGAATCAGAATACCCCACTATCTGGAGCGATTCTGATTTTCTGTAAGACAGCATGAGGCCTTTTGTTCCTTGCAAATAACGCAAGACTTTCTTTACTAATTCCAGTGCTCTAGACCTGGATTACTTTGAAATCTGCCAAGTAACCCGGTAACAAATGCCAAATCAGGTCGTGTGCACACTTGCGCGTACTGTAGGCTTCCTACAGCTGACGCATATGGCTTTGTTTTCATTTCATTGAGCTCATACTGATTTCTAGGATATTGAGATGCCCGATACTTTTCGCCTTTGACTATAGGAGCAGGTGTAGCACTACATCTGTGCATATTAAATTTCTTCAACACCTTTTCTATATATGCCTTTTGAGAAAGTCCCAATGCATACTTTATTCTATCTCGGTGAAACTCTATGCCCAAAACATATGAAGCCTCACTGAGGTCTTTCATGTCAAAGTTTGAGGACAAGAATTTCTTTGTTTCCTGCAGTAGACTAACATCACTACTAGCCAGTAGTATGTCATCTACATACAGAATTAGGAAAATGAATCTCCCATTCTTAACTTTGAATCAATACAGTTGTCCTCGATATTCTCTTGAAAACCTAAATTTCTTTATTGTTCCATCAAACTTCAAGTAGCACTGTCTCAAAGCTTTGCTTTAATCCATAAATGGATCTCTTTATACGACATCCCATATTTTCGTTTCCTTTCATGACGAAACCTTTCGGTTGTGCCACGTATACTTTTTTCTTCAAATCACCATTTAGAAATTCCGTTTTTACATCCATCTGATGTAATTCCAAATCATAATGTGCCACTAGTGCCATTATAATCATGAAGGAATCTTTACAAGAGACTGGAGAAAATGTCTCATTGTAATCCCTTCTCTTTGCGTGAAGCCTTTTGCCACAAGTCGTGCTTTAAACTTTTCTATATTCCCTCTAGAGTCATAATGGTTTTGTAGACCCATTTATAGCCTATTGTTTTGGCTCCTTTAGGAATTTCTTCTAAATCCCAGACATCATTTAATTTCATTGATTTCATTTCATCTTTCATGGCATCCAACCATTCAGATGAGCGAGCGCTTCTCGTGGCGTCTTCATATGAGGTGGGATCAACCTCCATATGCAACTCTTCTATATTATAAACTTCATAGTCATCACGGATAGCCGATCTTCTGACTCTTTCAGACCTTCTAGGGGCCTCCTCATTTGGCACATTATCTGTTTGAGGCTGTTGCAGCTCCTCCTCTGGTGTGGAAATAATTTATGTTGAATCCTGTAAAACAGGTTCTTCACTTTCATTCATTGTTGCCACAGGAGAGATAACAACAGGTGTTGGTACCGCAACGTCATGCATTGCTGGCACAACATCAGCAGGTAGAGAGAAGAAATGTTCCTGAGTAGACGGAGCAGGTACAGACACCCGCCTCTCCTCAAGATCAATTTCTCGAACTACCGAGCTCCCCCTAATCATTTCGTTTTCCAAGAAGACGGCGTGTCTCGTTTCTACAAACTTTGTTTAACTGTTTGGACAGTAGAAACGATAACCCTTTGATCTTTTAGAATAGCCAATACAATGGCAGCTTACTGTTTTGGGATCCAATTTCCCAAGATTTGGGTTAAATACTTTAGCCTTTGCAAGACTCGCCCACACACGGAGGATCCATAGCTCATACGGTGTTTTGGGCACCGATGCATTCTATGCATTGTATGCATTGTTCTAAAACTGAGAACTCCAATGGAGGAATAATTACATTCTTAGCCAGCCTCTCAATTCTCCCCCTCGAAATATGGCCAAAACGACAGTGCCATAATTTCGATGAGACATCAGGAGTTCACTTTCTTTTCTTTTGTCAACGAGGACACAACATTCACATTCTCAGAAAGAGATAACAAATAAAGCTGATTTTGCAACAGAGCAAGACCAACACATGCATTATTATACCATAGTTCACATTTGCCATTTCCAAAATGGCAATCATATCTATCAAAATCCAATTTGGATACACTTATTTCTTTTCTTTGCAAAGAAGGGACATAAAAACATCTGGAAGTAAAAGTGTGAAGCCATTCGCGAGCTCCAACAGCTTCAACTTTTGCTTCAACTCCATTGGCAACTCTAATGGGTCTTTTACTTCTTTGCGTAGTCCTCATTGAACGGAATCCCTTTAAACAATTACACATATGAATAGTTGCTCTAGAATAAATCCACCATGTGGATCTAGAATAACCAATCATAATGAGATTCATTTACAAATGTAATAATGTTCTCACCTTTCTTTGCCATGATCACTGTCAGGAAGTCAGGACGATCTTTCTTGGAATGTCTTGTCTTCTTGCAGTGGAGACACTGATCCTGTCTCAACTGTGAACTGTTATTGCTGAGGCAGATGCTGAGGCTGTTTAGCTTTTGAGGAGGATGACCTCTAGCTCTTTTCCTTGTTATCTTTAACAAGGTTAATGGAGCCACCATTGGTCTCTTTGAGTCTTTCCTCCTCTTGCACACAATTAGAGATGAGCTCTTCAAGATTCCATTTTTCTGGACTTATTTTGTAGTTGACAACAAAGTTGTCAAAGCTCTTTGGCAATGAGGACAAAACCAGATGGACCAGAAAGTCATCCGAGATGCCCAAATCTTTTTGCTTCAACTTGGAAGCCATGTTGCTCATCCTAAGAATGTGGTCTTTTACACCACCTCCATGGTACCTCTCTATTACAAGCTGCTTTATCAGCTGTGTCGCATAAAGCTTTGAAGAACTTGTAAACTGGCTCTTTATACTTTCGAGGTACTTAGAGACGGTGTCATACTCTGGGATTGACCCCAGTATGGTTGGCTCAATCGTGTTCTTTACCGCAGCCAAACAGTTCTTGTTGGCTAAGGACCATTTCGCATGCTCAATGTCATATGACAAGATGAGGGAAATATTGTCCCTCTCTCTCTTTTGCCATTCAGCATCTGACTCATTTTCACCTCTGAAAGGTTCAGCAGGTTCTATAGGACATGGAGTAGTCAACACCCAGTCCACCTCTCCCAAGATAAAAGCAAGGTCGAGTTCTCTTTTCCATTCTTTGTAGTTATCTCTTTTCAGGGTTGGAATATCTTTAATGTAACCCATCAAGGAGTAGCCACCTGAGATAATCATGTATTGTGAGAACAAAATTAACATTAAAAATATTATGTGTTAAGTCTACATCACTGTTGGGCGAAAAATAGACATAACACATAGAGCCATAACTATAACATTGCAATTATCAACGTTGGTCAGAAAATTACAACATCATAGCACATAATTAATGTTCCTAAAATCAAATTCTCCTATTGGTTCGAAATTTAGAAACACTAATTTTCATCAATTTCATCTATTTGCAGCGGAAGATCTATATACAATTCATATGAACAGTAACAAAACTCTGTTATTTACTCTCTGTAAAAATTCTTCCATTGGTTCAAATTTAAACAGAGGTAAATCATGCAAAATCAATTCAAAATTCTATTGTAATTTGCATGAAAATATACAAAATACATGTTCAGAAGCATTTCTCACATTTATCTGTTATCTAAACAATTTTCACGTTGGTTCAAATTGCTTAGAAATTAACACATTTAATAACTATAATTGTAAATGCTTCTGAAACAGGGACTTAAAATGAACTTCCTTTCTTTTGATTCGGCCCCAAGGGACCTAAAATGAACTTTTTCGGCCATTGCCGGTCGGCCACGGCCGCCTTGCGCGCGGGCGGGCGCCCCCTCCCCCCTCCCCAGGCCGCAACCTGGGCCTGGGTCGGGAAAGTGGCTCGCCGTGTGCTCCCACATGGGCCGATTTCGGTCCGGCCGCCGTCGGCCGTCCGATCGCTAGGGTTTCGATCAGACGGCCGAGCGGGGAGATCGGGAGAGCAAAACCCGAGCCCCCAGCCGCCGGCCGAACCCTAGCCACTCTTCTCTTCTTTTGGCCGAAAACCCTAGCCATTGCGCGGCGGCGGCACGGCGGCTGCACGGCCCGGCGGCGCCATCGCACTCCCCCTCGCTGGTGCGCGCACTCACTCGAGGGTGAGTGCGCCGCCGTCGAGCGGCTGTGCCGCTGCACCCCCTCCTTTCTCTCTTTCCGCGCCGGCGTGAGGACGTCCGGCAGCGGTTTGATCCGCGCGCGTCGGCGACAGCCGGTGGCGGCGGTGAGTCTCTTTTCTCTTCTCCCCCACCGTCTCACCCCCTCTACCGAGTAAAGTGAGGAGACCGGTGGCCGAAGGAGATGGTGGTGCCGCCGCGGGCCCCCAGCCGGCGCGCGCGTGCACCCACGGGTGCGTGCGCTTCCATCGAGGAGCTCCTTGGCGGTGCCCTTTGCCCTTTCCCTTTCCCCCTTTGCCGGCGTCGACGACGGCTGGCGACGAGCTAAGGACTAGGGTTAGGGTTTTTCTTTTCGATCCGTTGGATCGTTTGCTTTTCTTTGCTTTTCTCTTTGTATTTCTTTCCTGAATCAATCTAAACGCTAGGCTTGCTCTGATACCATTATTAGAGTTGTCTATTGGATCACCTAGGTTTAGATCTAGTCGGGTGGTTCTTTTTGCGATGGATGATTGAACAACAATAGAGATTAAGGGAAAGGGTTTAGGGATGTGACCGGTTGACGCGTTGGATGAGGAGGAAGTCCCGGCCATCGTTCGTTGACGTCGCTATGCTTGTCGAGGACAGCGGCGACGATGTGCTTGACGGCGACGGTGGTTGTAGCAGTGGGAGTCGTGGTCGGCGCGGCGGTGGCGCGTTCTCGTCACTGGCTACGCCTCCTTGATCGGTTAGGGTTTGTGGGGTGGAGTGGTGGCGGCGATGAACCTCGTGTCTTGTGCCGTTCCGTCCTCCACCCCTCTTTATATGGCACAGTGTGACGGGGGCCCACCAGCCATTGGGCTGGGCGTCCCCGATCAGGGCGCAGGTCAAGGCCCCCTTGAGCCGTTGGGCTCAAGGGGAGGGAGATCTATGCGGGTAGAGGATGAGACACCACACCATGCTACCCACAGTCACAATGATAAAACCATGGTTAGATATCACTCCATTGGTGGACATGAACACACACGGTGTCTTTTCGTTATCAAAATCATAAAATGCCTATTACAATAACACTTAGAGTAAATCCATAAAATGCCAATAACGAGCACCCTAATCCAAAAAATATCATCGACGAATACAACCTTCAAGAAATGCCATCGTACAAGTCATTGTGTCCCAGAAATGCCATTGCCGTCACTTTTACTCTGTTAGATGCCGTTAATTTTATCAAAATGACCAAATAACCATCCTGAAGACCTCAACCCAGGACAAATTTTCTTCCCATCAACCGCCAGTCATTCCTCTTCCTCACCTCTACTTCAACCACCGGCCACTTCTCTTCCACCTGTTCTCCCATTGCCGGCGGTTTCTCCCCTTACACCCCTGTGAGGGGGCCCTCTCCCCTCTCTCTTTCCCTTATGATGGCCTCGAATGACGATGGTTCCTGTGCTCCTCGTCGTTGATGGCGCCCCCGCACGTATCCTCACCCACAGCTCCCCGGTCGCACTCGCCTCGAGCTCTTGCCGCTACCGCCGTCCCGAGCTCCCGCGGCCGGTGGCTTCTCCCCTTCCACCACCATGCAGGACCCCTCTCCCTTCTCTCCCTCCCCGACGACGGCCTCAAATGGCGAAGCGAGCTATGGCGGGCAAGGCGGCCTTGGCGGCTGTGGATGAGATAGATTGATGCTGGCAGTCGAGGAGAAGGTAGATCAACGCCAACGGCATGCACAAGTGGATTTAGTCGTTGCGGTGATGGTTCCCGTACTCCTCATTGCCAACAGCACCCCCGCACACGTCCTAAACTAGAGCTCCCCCATCGCCCTCGCCCCTGAGCTCTCACACCGCCGCCAGCCGCCACCCCCGAGCTCCTGGTTCGTCCCTCAGCCTCCCATCGTAAGCTCGTCCTCCTCGGAGCAGCCGAGATATGGGTCCCATTGAGAGCTTTCTCCTCTATGTATGACAAAAGGTTGATGATTTGGGGAATTTTTCAAGAATGCTACAATACTAATAAACTTAGGCCAAAATTATTGGAAGTACATGTTATCATGAACTTGATTTGGTGAAATTTTGAGATTTTCTCGTGTATAGTTTTCATATGAAAATTCGGATATACATTATACATCCAAGGGCAAGATAGTGTTTACACCGTGCCTAATGGAGTACAAGTGATAAAGTAGCGAAGACAATGACATTTTTTGTCGATGATATTTTTTGGATTATCTCCAAACGGTTTGATTTCATGCTCTTCGTACAATTTGCTCCTTTAATCAGGTGTAAAAAATCTAAAACAATTTACCCTGTCAATCAATCATCCAAAGTTCAAAACAATTCAAATGACGAGGATATAGGCTGACAATATATATGATGAAATGTGACTAGCTAAATTTATCTAAGCTACAACGCTGCCTGATTATTACAAATTAATAAAATATTACGGTAACACAAAACCAAGGGGCTTCCTATTTGTTGCGCGCTGGCTAAGAAGTAGCGCGCAGCCGCGCCCCCCTCAAATCCCTACACTGTTAGCGCTGTAATTAGCAGTGACGGTAATTAGCGCTAACTAGCAATATTTTCCTTTTTTCTGGTAGGTTTTTTGACTAATCGATTGATAAAAAATCTATACGTGAAGACAAAATTTGAAAACTTTTAACTCGAAATTTAAAATTTTTTCAAGTCAAAATTTAAAAACTTCTAACTTTTCGTCTCAGATTTAAAAAACTTTCAACTCAAATTCGAAACTTTGAACCCATATTTAAAAACTTTCAACCTAAATTTGAAAATTTGCGACCCATATATATTTAAAAACTTTCAATCCAAATTAAAAAACTTCAATTCGGATTGAAAAACTTATAAGCCAAGATTTAAAAACTTTCAACAGAAAAATTTGAAAACACATGTGTTGAAGATTAAAAAAAAGTCAAAAAAGACGCGAAAAGAAAACGCTAAAAATAGGAGAAAATCAAAAAAGAAAAAAGAAAATCTAAAAAAAAAAGAAAAAGCAAAAAAAGAAAAGGCCGTAGCAATCGCGCAAAACCAAACGTGTTCGCGTTCGGTATCTCGACCTTTCTCCAAATCCGATGCTTAATCCTCATACGGTATACTCCGTAGGTCGGTCGACCTGACCTATAAATCCGCAGCCGCCACGCGAACCAAAAACCGGATCGGATCGGACCGCGTCTTACCAGATTGGCGATGGCGGCGGCGGATGGCACCACCGGAGAGGAGGTGAAGAAGACGATCGATCTCGTCAGCAAGGACGGCGAGCGGTTCGAGGTGGCGAGGGACGCGGCGCTGCTGTGCAAGACGCTTCGGTGGATGATCAAGGGCGGCTACGGCCGGATCCCGCTCCCCAACGTCGCCTCCCCGATCCTCGCCAGGGTCGTCGACTACCTCGCCCGGCATGCCGCCGCCGCCGCCGCCATGGACGACGACGGCCTCGACAGGTTCGACCGCGACTTCCTCGCCGGCGTCGACCAGGACACGCTGTTCGACCTCCTCCTCGCCGCCAACTACCTCCAGGCCGACGGCCTCCTCGACCTCGCCTGCAAGAAGGTCGCCGCCATGATGACCGGCAAGTCGCCGGAGCAGATGCGGGAGATCTTCCACATCGTCAACGATCTCACGCCGGAGGAGGAGAAGGAGATCCGGGAGGACATCGCTTGGGCGCTCAACTAGCTATGCTCATCTACAACATGTAATATACTTTGTTTTGATTTTCTTGCGCACCTCGCACATATGGATGTATCCCTCTTTAATCTTTCTCAAACATGATTAGCAAGAAGTATAACAAATATAATACCAATTAAGTTTTTTGAGAGTGCGACGTGATCACTAATGTGTACACAGTATATTGCTGTATTATCATATTCTGAAAATGTTAGAGCTAGTACGTTACATCATATATTTGTTTAATAACAAACATACTTCCTCCGTTTTATATTGTAAGACTTTCTAGCATTGTCCACATTCATATATATATTAATGAATCTATATATATATATGTGTGCCTAGATTCATTAGATAAATATGGACAATGCTAGAAAGTATTATAACCTGAAACGGAGGTAGTATTTGTTTCTGGATTTTCTTTGCTCTGAAAAACACATTTGCATGTATTAAATGAACCGAACGGATGATGCTATGTATGGGAAAAATATAAGGAAAAATCTCTACATATGCATGATGAATCTTCCCTATAGTTCAACATAGTTTCACTCATCACTCATTGTTTCATTCATTGTTTCATTCCTCATGGAATGATCCAGATCATCTCGCTCACATCCAATGCACCTCCCTCCTTGCAAACGAGCGCCTCCCCTGGCCCTAGTCCCTCTTCTCCCTCTCTCACATGCTGTCCATCTCCATCCTCACACCATCCATCTCCACCCTCACGCCGCCATCGCCCGCCATCATGGCCATCCATCTCCGTCCTTTGAATACCGTCGCCCGGTCCCTTCTCCCCTTCAGCCATCACCGTCGATCTACTGCCTCAGTTGTCGTTATCGCGATTGCCAGCGATCCCTCACCGCTAGTTCGTCGTCGCGGTGACTAAGCCATCGCTCCACCATCGCGCCGACGTCCATCTCCACCCTCATGCCGTCGTCGCCCCACCATCGTGCGGCCATCCATCTCCAACCTTAGAAAGCCATCGCTCGGTCCGCTCTCCCCTTTAGCCACCACCGTTGATCTTCCTCTCAGCCATCGTCTCAGCCATCGCTGTTGCGATTGCCAGCAATCCCCCACAGCCAGTTCGTGTCGTAGTGACTGAGCCATTACGCTGCCATTGCGCTGCCATCGCTTGGCCGTCCATCTCCACCCTCTCGGCTTTGTCGCCCCGCTATCGCGTAACCATCCATCTCCGTCCTCAGAACACCGTCGCTCGGTCCCTTCTATCCTTCATCTACTACCGTTGATCTCCTTCTCAGCCGTCGGCCGTCGATGTACTGTCGTGATTGCCAGCGATCCCTCACCGCCAGTTCATCGTTGCGGTGACTGAGCCCCCGCCAGCCGTCGGGCCGCACCGCTGCGACTCGCCTTCATGCCGCCCGGGAGCAAGAGGAACGGTGGGTCAGGGTCAGGGCTGGGGTGGTTGCGTGGTACCTAGGCTCGATCAAGGTGCTGCCCGTGGTGACCAACGATGTAGCTGCTGCCACCGTCTTCACTGTCACTGACCTCTGCTCTCAGGTGGGACAGGAATTCTTGCGGTTCTATTTTTCCTTTTCTTCTTGTTAGAGGTCATGTCATTATTTTTTGAATAAGATGTTTGTATTAAATGAAATGTAATTAGTACTAATTGGTTAGTGAATTATTAACTGGCTTCAGTTAGAGAGACTCACTAAACTGGTCATAAAGGTCAAGGCATCCTGTGGACTGCAATGACCTCGGCCTCGCTGTCCTGACGCCATTGTGCACGCCGCTTTGTTGGTGGGGTGTGCGCTTTGTGCGAGGAAGAGGATGAGTGGGCTTTACGGGCTACTACCTTTGTCCTAAAATATTTGTCGTTTTGAGTTTTTTTTAACTTTTTATCGTTCGTCTTATTTAAAAAAATATAAAATTATTATTTATTTTGTTTGTGACTTGTTTTATTATCAAAAGAACTTTAAGTATGACTTATCTTTTTTTATATTTGCGTTAATTTTTTAAATAAGATGAATAGTCAAATATTAAAGAAAAAAAGTCAAAGCGACAACTAATTTGGGACGGAGGTATATGTTTTGTTGAGTAATAAGTAACCAATTTACCGATGCACTTCCGGTTACATCCTAAATTTTGTGTGGAATTTTTGGGTATGCTAGTGCACACACCCGAAACCCCCCGCGGGTTCACCCCTGACCTGAAGTTAGTATATGCACGGTACTAATTAAAACGCTTTATCTGAATTTTCTGACATAAACATCAAAATCATGAGAGAAGTTAAACCATTTGCATTATAAAAATATGCAGAGGCTAATCAAATTGTTTAAACCAGGACATCATCATAAATATGACACAGTCATTATTATTCACATCCACTGATTTCACAATTTTTCATTTATACTGTAAAATTGGAAACACGGTGGTTACCTTGTTGGCGGATTAGTTCGGTGGTCTGTGAGTGAGTGGGATACGAGGATCGCCGGTGCCATCGGATAGGCAACGCTTGCTCTGGCCCGTATAGAATATCACATCTAACCAAGGAAGTCTTAGCCACGCCGATGCAAGTGAAGATGACGCAAATTCGCTGGAGGTCAGACTTAACCGATGCAGTCCATGGTCGAAACTAAGAACTCGTTGGGAATAAATTAGGGTACCGATGAAGTGAAAGTAATTTTATTGATCTGTGGAGATATATTACAGAGACCTCGAGTGTACATATTTATACACATGGGTGGATACTAGTCCTTATTGGACTCGACACAGACTTTCCTAAAGATAAAAGAAAATAAACTAATCCTGATCGGACACTAAGAAAACTTGACGAAAGATAAAAATGAAAATTACCACACCCTGCCTAATTAGATAAAACTGAATTGCCATGTTGTGGTCTTCACGATCCTTTTTTGAACTCGGTTTCTTCTGAATAAGCTTCCATCGGTTGAATGTCTCCTTTCCTTAACCGAATCCACTAAAGAATCTTACCAAACTTTGGTGTTAAGACAAGAAATTTTACCTTCAAATCAAGGAGCTGACCTAGGGGGCATGGATTCAGCGACAGTGAATCGGGGATGCAGAATCGTACGGCGACAGCTATATGGGGGTGTGGGATCACCGTAGTCAACAGCTAAGGATATCTTGGGGCAGGATAGGTGGCGGCAATATCAACCTCATCAACGGCGACGAGGGTGCGATGGCGAGGTGGGGCGCGGGATCGTCCAAGGCGAGGATGGTGCGATGGAGAGACCGGGTGATGACATTCTAGTGGTGGTGATCAGCGAGTAGCGGCGGCGCGTGAGAGGGAGAGAGGATGAGGGTTAGGGCTGTGGGAGACAATTTGTCTCTCAGTCACCACATCAACGGGAACCGAGCGACTACAAGTCAAGCTATGTCCATCATCAGCACATATTTTTATAGCTATTCCTTGTGATTATATTAGGTTTCCCTATGTTGTAGGTGTAAGTCATATTTTATACACCATCAAAAACATGGAGTGTGTAATCATGAATTGCACAAGTTTTTGTCGAAACCACGGATAGACAATCAATTAGAAAGTTATACACTTCCACACAAATTCAGAATTTTCATAAGAATGATACTAGCATTTCCTAAAAAAAAAATACTAGCGAGATAGATATATATGCTGGATTTGGGCCTAACAACTATGAGGCCCACGGACCAGTTTCTGATTCAACTACAAATGGCTCACAATACCAGACATAGATTGATGTATTTAATTAGCAAACCATTTTCATGTAGACATTGAGCCGCCCGTGGTTTTGGTAGTACACATATTCACACCATTATACTTGCATCCCAATCATGTCTATGTCTATATATACAAATTCATGATGGAAAAATTTCTTAGCATTTTCCTTCATCTCTCCTTTCCTCTCCCTCTATTCCAACAGAGCAGATCTAAGGGGAAGCTATGGGTAAAAACACCTTGGGCATAGCAACTTATCAGAGGAAACGATGGAATCAGGGGAGCAAACGAAGGTAGGTCACTCGTGTAAAAATTACAACATATCGATGACTGATACTGAGATCCTATCTTTCACGGATCAATGAATTTGATTTGATTCATAAATCATGTTTTCCCAGGGAAAACAACAAGATAGTTTTGTGGTGGCAGCAAAGAATGATCATGCTGATCATTCCGATCTTATATTCTAAAACATACTAGACCTAGTAGAGAAATATGTACTAAAGGATTTGGAAGCTCTAGCCATGGCTACCATGGATATACCCGAGGAAGTCAAAGCTGTTGAACCCAAATCCAATGATTTAGTCCACAAGACATGGAGGAACATTGGAAAGCGAACTCGACAATATAACAACGAAGGAACTAAAACAGATGTTTTTAACTTTATATCTCATGTTTTTATTTTAATATCAGATGTATGTGTTTCTAGTTTTAGGGGGTGGGGGTGGGGGTGGGGATGGAATAATTTTAATTTATATTAATGTCATATTCTTTGGCCCATGTTCATTTCTATAGAAAATTGAGAAATAGTGAGACGGTTAGGAGCCAATTAAATGCCATATAGGTGAATAGAGAGTGGCGTTCAGAAAATGCTAATTTCTCGCATGTGTCCAAGTGTGCCACAATGCCTTTTACTCCATTTCCATTGAACATTTTCCATTGAACATATCGTGACTATATAGACAATCTCTCTATTGTTTATCTTTTTCTTGGAAAAATATGCTGACATATGTATATGTGTATTCACATGCAGAAATCCTCTGATTGTAATGTAGAAGATCATGGTATGTAACTCAGATTTTACTCTTTAGTCGATCTAAATCTTATTTATGTTATTAAGTTTCTAAGTCATGTGCTGAATTTTGAACTCAAATATATTTAATAAGCTTGTAGGGAAGCATAACTATGCTGGCCATAAAGAATTTGAGTTTCACTAAAGTGTAATAAATTAAGCCCTTAAAGCATCACTTTTTTTTGTTAAAAGGTAAAATAGTGTTTTTAAAAAATATTTGTTTACTATCTTAGTAGTACTTAATTTAGTGTGCAATTTGAATTTGTTGATACACAAGTTTGTTGTTCTAGACACAAACAACATTATACTCCCTCCATCTACTTTTGGTAGGCATATTTCCAAATCTGAAAAACTTATTTTTGATAGGCATATTTCAATCCAACAACCTATCATCTTAATGACTTTCTCGGATTTAATGCGTGAATCTTCATTCCTCGACACAAGATTGGCTACATGGGCATCGA